CCCTAATTTCGTCTGGTATCAGAATTAACATGATAGCACTTCAATTTGTTGTTTGCTATAAGAATATATTCTTGGAATTTGAAACTGAGATTGGCTTCGAGTAGTAAATTCACTTCAAATTCTGCTTAAAATTACCAAGTGTCTGTACATAGTGAGCATATTGCAGTCATGGTGTGTGTTTCAGATATACATAGATTTTGATATATGTATATATGCATGCTAATGCATACATAGACGTATATATGCATGTGATTCCCCCCCCCCCCCCCGCCCCCCCTTTAATCTTGCTGTTAATAATAGTTTGATCTTTTTTAATTTGATAGGTTGTGCTGTTAATAGTAGTATTGATTACCTTGAAAACAAAGTTTTTAACCAGCACATCACAACTTTAACCTTTGTATCAGCTATTTATTTATGCATTATTTTGTTTTGAACCCTCAATTCTCTAGTTATAGATTTATTGAATTCTTATTATCTCTTTTTTTAAACTTAACTTTTATCTATATTCCATACTGTATAATCTTTGTTGGTTTATGTGCTTATGTGCTAAGCAAACTTTGTCTAAATCTCTTTTCTGAATGTTTGTTGAACTGTGTGTTTTCTTATTGCACTAGCTCAATGATTTTTTTTTATAATTAATTTGGGTTTGAGGAATGTCTTGAGTTTTGTTACGTTGAACAAAAATGGCTGCTAATGGTTCTGCAAGAGGTAACACCCTGTTCCAAGACGACGAGGCTTTCAGGGATATCTAATGTGTTGAAAGGCTAATATTTTATAGAGATCACTTGTGGTTCTACTAGTAGAAAACAAGGCGATGCTATCGGCAGGTTGAAGATTTTTGAGACTGGAGTTCTGGAGGTAAAATGTGAATGCATTCAGGGATGCGAAGAAGGGGAGAATGATTTCGAGATGCATAGGATTTTAGGCATTATTTGATAATAGATAATTAAATCTTTTGAGTGCAATGCCATGTTAATTCTGATAACTATGTGCATGAAAACTGTGCATTTGCTTCTAATTAGACCCCATTTATATCGCCTATACGAGTTCTTGAAATTCTGATATAAATTTCATGAATTTTAGGTATTGTTTGATGATTTAGTCTTTAAACAGAATGCTTAGTTGAGTTGCTGGCTTGGTCTAAATGAACA